CGCCTCGCCATTGGCTGCGCCGCACGTCGGTCCCGGACACTCCCCCTGCACGTGGATTTCGACTCCGTGGCTTGCGAGGAGTGTGGCCCCGGGGCGAGAAAGCCCCGTGGGTGACCTTTCCCCCGGGCGCCTGCACCTGCCTTTACCTGCCCTGTCCCGGCCCTGCGCGCACCCCCACACCTCTTCTGCTTTGTCGCGCGCCCCCTTGTCACCTCCCAGCCGCCCTCCAGGCCAGCGTGGTCGGGAAGGCGCGCAGCAGGCTCAGATTGTCCGACCTCTAGTCGCGCTTGGCAGATCACCTGATGCCTCTGGCCGCAGCGCCTTCCAAACCCTCGCGCCCGGGCCTTGTGGCCGTTTTCTCAGCGACCATTCCTGCCCTCTCCATCCCTCCTCTTTTGTCCTGCAGCCTTAAGGAACGAAAGCGCTTTCCCTTCCTTCCCCTCCAGGTCCTCGGAGATACTAAAGCTACAAGTTAAATATACCCTCCTGGGCATGGCTGCCCCGGCCTAAGTGATACTGGTGGCCAGGGTACAGGGGCGCCCTCCCTGAGATCCCGCCGAGGCATCTGAGAGGGTTGGCATGGCCTCCCTCTGGACACCCCTGACTTTCAGCTCTGAGCTCCGATTCACACACCCAGCTTCTCTGTAGTTTCCCCACTTATTAGGTATCCCTAGTCACCCTAGAGTCCCTAACTGTCGGGCTAAGTGTTCTGGTTTTTTTTGCAAGCAGGCAGAGTTCGCATTAACCAAGTACACTCTTTGCACACAGAGATCACTTCTCTTCTGGATGCTGAGGTAGGGATTCCTGGTGTGCCCCTTTTACAGATGAGGGAACAGTTTGGGCAGGGAAGTCTCTGGTCACTCCAACTTCTGTCCGACTCACTGCTTTATGAGACAGGGTCCACCCCACTTTACAGAGGGACACCAGCTGGCCAGGGAGGGGAGGTCAGAGGTGTCAGGGCCATGGGTAGCCTGGCCTGGGGAGGAAGCGCACCCGGAGGCTGCCAGACCCCCGTGGACAGGGAAGGAAGCCGGCTCCGGGTTGTCTACAGCTCTTCCAGGCTCCACAGAGCTCAGGGACCTGGTGGTTTGCAGGTGCAGTCGGGCCTGAAGACTGGGGGAGGGGTTGGCTGTGGGGAACGGGGGCCTAGATCTCAGGGCCAGTAGGTGAAGGTGGAAGAGGAACCTGGAAAGAGTGAACCCAAGCCAGCGCTGCTGCACCTACAAGGAAGCCCTGAAGGCCACTCCCTTCCTCTATAGTTCAAGACTCCTTTGTTTTGTTTTTTTTTTGTTGTTTTGAGTCAGGTTCTCATTCTGTCACCCAGACTGGAGTGCAGTGGCAGGCTCACGGCTCACTGCAGCCTTGACCTCCTGGGCTCAGGTGATCCTTCCACCTCAGCCTCCCGAGTGCCTGGAACTACAGGAGTGTGCCACCAGGCCCCACTAATTTTTTTATATTTCGTAGAGATGGGGTCTTGCTATGTTGCCCAGGCTGGTCTCAAACTCTTGAACTCGAGCAATCCTCCCGCCTCGGCCCCCCAAAGTGCTGGGGTTACAGGCCTGAGGCACGGCGCCTAGCCCCAGACTCCCTCATGCTGGCCTCGGATTCAGGTCCCTCTACCCACTCCAGGTCAGCAAATAGCCTGCGCCTCACTGCTCAGAGGCCAGGAAGGCACCAGTCTAATCAGAACTCGGCTTGGAACCTTGTGTGACCTGTGTCCACTTATTGTCAGGCACCGCTTTGGGCGTAGGTCAGCAGGTCGCAGCCTTGACCTCCACTGAGTGTCCAGTCTGTAGGAGAACAGGCACGACCAGTTTAAGGACTGTTATTCGTGGGAGCTTTGTAGGTCTCTAAGTTGGGCATGAGACTCTTCTCAGGAAATCAGCTGACATCTGAAGGCTGAGGAGGAAGATGTGGTGCCGAGTCGGGGGAGGGAAGGAGGGACAGGTCTCTGGTGTCCTCAGGGAGATTGAGGGGTACATTCAGGAAAGGCAAAGCGGTCAAATCTGGGAGGAATTCAGGTGAGATGACAGGGCTTGGCGACTGAGCAGATTCTCTACCCAGGGCCTGTTTCCCCTTTGCTAAGCAGGTGAGATAGAACAGGCCCTGCCATCCTTGACCATGAGCCTGACACAGGGAATGTTGGGAAACAGCCCCTCCCCAGTCCAGTCTGTTGTGTTTTGTTGTTTTTTTTTTGAGTTGGAGTCTCACTCTGTCGCCCAGACTGGAGCACAGTGGCTGCTCCCGGCCACCGCAGCCTCGACCTGCTGGGCTCTGGCGATCCTTCCGCCTCAGCCTTCCGAGTAGCTGGAATTACAGGCATGCACTACCACGCCCGGCTGATTTTTTTATTTATTGTAGAGATGAGGTCTCGCTGCCCAGGCGGGTCTCGAACCCGCGGGCTCAGGCAATCCACTCACCTCAGCCTCCCGAAGGTGCGGGATTACAGGCTGAGCCACCGAGCCCGGCTTGGTCTGTTTTTTTGAGTTGGAGTCTCACTCTGTGGCCCAGGCTAGAGTGCGGTGGCATGCATGCTCACAGCCACCCCAGCATTGACCTGCTGGGCTCTGGCAATCCTTCCGCCTCAGCCTTCCCAAGTAGCCAGAACTACAGGTTCTCCCTGTAGTTCTTCACACTACCACGCCTGGCTAATTTTTGCTTTACGTAGTGTAGAGACGTGGTCTTGCCAAGTTGCCCGGGCTAATTTAGAACCCCGGGGGCTCAGCCAATCCACTCACCTTGGCCTTCCAAAGTGCTGGGATTACAGGCTGAGCCACCAAGCCCGGCCTCCTAGTCTGTTAACCACGGAGCTTGGAGGCACACCATCTGACCGATTGGATCCTGGTGGAGACTCCAATCAGTGAGACCTGGGTTCAAATCTCTACCCTGCCACTGGCTTCAAGGCCTCCTCTTCTATAGACCCGGGGTCTCAGTGGCGCCTGCCCAGCAGGGCTCATGGTGTGGCCGTGAGCTGGTGGGCTTCTAACCCCACACATCCTAGGTGCTCTGCAACATGGCAGGCAATGTAATTCCTGCACCCTAGGACCCAGTCTGTCTCCTGGTGGTCAGAGCCTGAGGCCACCATGCTCTTGGAGGGAGGTCCAGGCTCAGCCTCCCAGGCTTCACTCGTGTGTGTCCTCGCAGGCTCCGGCCCAGGCTCGTGCCCGCCTACCAGCTTCCAGTGCCGCACCAGTGGCTTCTGCGTGCCCCTCCTCTGGCGCTGCGACAGTGACCGGGACTGCAGGGATGGCAGCGATGAGGAGGAATGCAGTGAGTGGCCACGCCCCCAGTGGGGCTTCCGGGGGACAGGGCCCAAATGGACGGGGATGGCAAGGCTGGCTGGGCCCGGTGGCTCAAACCCGTAACCCTAGCACTTTGGGAGGCCAAGACGAGAGTCCAGGGGTTTCGAAACCAGCCTGGGAAACTTGGTGAGACCTCTGCTCTACAATAAGTCAAGAAGTTAGCTGGGTGTGGTGGCACGTACCTGTGGTTCCAGCCACTCAGAAGGCTGACGCAGAAGGATGGCCTGAGCCCAGCTGGTTGAGGCTGCGGTGGCCGTGAGTATGCCACTGCACTCCAGCGTGGCGACAGAGTGAGACTCCGACTCAAATAAATGAATGAATGAATGTATGAATGTATGTTGGAGCTAACCAGAGCAGGGGGTGGAGCCTTAGGAAGGGCCCCCAGATCTTAGAAGGGGGGAGCTTCAAAGAAAGAAACAGAGAAGGCGGAACATGCGGGAGACTGGGTCTGGGGAATACCTGGGTCGCCTTGGGTGGGCATTTGGGATCTGACCGGCTCTGTTCCCCAGGGATCGAGCCGTGTGCCCAGAATGGGCAGTGCCCACCACCCCCTGGCCTCGCCTGCTCCTGTGATGGCGACTGTCCTGGGGGCACAGACCAGAGCCCTCGCAACTGCAGTCGCCCGCCCTGCCCAGACGGGGAGCTGCGCTGCGTGCTGAGCAATGATTGCGTCCCCCACACGTGGCGCTGCGACGGCCACCCCGACTGTCCCGACTCCAGTGACGAGCTGGGCTGCGGTGGGTGCCTGTCGGGGCGGGGAGGACCGCGGGGTAGAGGGGAACACCTGCCGCCTTCCAGCGCATGGCCAGGCTGGGGCTGTGGCCACGTGCATCTGCCCCTGCCTGCATACCCTGGGGGCTGCCAGCCATCACTAGGGGCGGCGGTTGACACCAGTTTCTCCAGTCTGGGGTGGAGGACGAGCCTGAGTCTCCCTGGGCGCCTGGCACTCTTCTGCACACCCCACACCCTCGGCCTCTCTCCTCTATCACTGACCGCCTGGGCTTTATTGCAGAAACCAATGAGACCCTCCAGGAAGGGAATACCACAACCATAGGGACCTCTGTGGCCCCAGAGAGTGTCACCTCTCCCAGGAATGCCTCCAACACCTCTGTTGCAGATCAGTCCGGAATCCCAAGTGCCTATGGGGTTATTGCAGCTGCCGGTAAGGGGAGCTGACCCCTGAGACTGGACTGGGCTCTGGACACTGAGGGGGCGGGGAGGGAGGGGACTACAGAACCACCAGCCCCACAAATGGGCGCTTGAGGGGGTGTGGGGGCTCCCGCCTCCTCCTCCTCCTCACCCCTCCGTCTCTCTGCCCCCACAGCACTGCTGAGCACAAGCCTGGTCGCCATCACCCTCTTCGGGATGTCCCAGCTCCGAGCCCAGGGGCACCTGCCCCGGCTGGGGCTGCTGGTGGCCCTAAAGGAGTCCCTGCTGCTGTCCGAACGGAAGACCTCACTGGTCTGAGGACAAGCACTGGCCACTACATCACCCAGCCCTGGGTGCAGCCGGCGGAGACATAGAGCAGCTGGCAGACGTGCACACAGCTGCTGGCACCCCAGCCCTCGGAGCCCTGGGCTCTGCTGGCCACGCAGAACTTTGACCCAACCCGAGCTCTGGCAGGCGTGGCCCTGGAGGCTGGGGTCCCTAAACAGTCCCCGTGGACTTGGGGAGCTTGGATAGGAAACATGCCGCAGCCTGAAATGAGGGAAGCTGGCCCCAGGCCTGGGGGTGGGACAGCCCCAAGCTCAGACACTCCTGCTGCCTCCGTGTGAGGGTGGCGATTAAAGTTATTTCACAGCCTCTGCCTGCCTCGGGGCCTCTGTCTCCCTTGGCCTGGGTGACCTGGGGTCTCTGCCACAGCCTCTTCCTCCCCAGCGGCCTGCCTGGCCCACAGAAAGTAGGGCTTGGGGACCCAGCTGTGGGGACCTCGGCAACCACTCTGCCTCTCCCATCTTAGGGGCAGAGACAGGAGCCTGGGGTGGGAAGACAGCCTGCGTTAACATCAGGCTTCTGGGACAAACAGAACTTGGGTGGTGCCTTCCCTTGCCTGACTTGGTGAATCCCCGTCCACCATGCTGAGGAGACAAAAGCCCGGCATCTCAGCGTGGTCTCACCTCCACCCTGTTTGGAAATGTCTGTTTCCAGCTGGGCGCAGTGGCTCACACCTGTAATCCCAGCACTTTGGGAGGCGGAGGCAAGAGGATTGCCTAAACTCAGGGGTTTGAGACCAACCTGAGCAACATGATGAGACCTCGTCTCTACACTAAATCATAAAATTAACTGGGTGTGGTGGCGCATGCCCTGTGGTTCCAGCTACTTGGAAGACTGAGGCAGAAGGATCACCTGAGCCATTTGCACTCCAGCCTGGGTGACAGTGAGATTCCAACTTAAAGAATGTCTGTTTTGTTATTCAGGTGTAATAAGGCCAAACAGATCAGGAAATGATTGCTGCTGAAAAGACAGTGGCCCAGCTCAGTGGCTCAGTCTGTAATCCTAGCACTTTGGGAGGCCGAGGCGAGTGGATTGCCTTGAGCCCGTGGGTTCGACACCAGCCCGGGCAACTTGGCAAGACTTCGTCTCTACAATAAGTAAATAAAATTAGCTGGGTGTGGTAGCGCACATCTGTAGTTCCAGCTACTTGGAAGGCTGAGGGGGAAGTCTTCAGCCTTCCAAGCAGGTCAACACGGGTGGCCGTGAGCGTGCCACTGCACTCCAGCCTGGGTGACAAAGTGAGACTCTAACTCAAAAATAAAAAAATAAAGCCGGGCTCGGTGGCTCAGCCTGTAATCCCACTGAGCTGGGCCGCTCCTTTGGGAGGCTGAGGTGAGTGGATTGCCTGAGCCCGTGGGTTCGAGACCCGCCTGAGCAGCAAGACCTCATCTCTACAATAAATCAAAAAATCAGCCGGGCATGGTAGCGCATGCCTGTAATTCTGGCTACCTGGAAGGCTGAGGCGGAAGGATCACCGGAGCCGGCAGTGGCCACTGCACTCCAGTCTGGGTGACAGAGTGAGACTCCAACTCCAAAAAAAAAAAAAAGGAATGTGGACCAGGGCCTCTCTTAAGGTTTCTGTAGGAAAAACAGTTTTAGGATTGACCAGGTGGAATCGTTTCACTGGGCTCTGGGGCCCATCAACTGGTACTTGGTCCTGGAGTGATAAGGGCGAGGAGGTGTGGATGTCTGCTGGGCTTTGAGTGTTCCACAAAGAGGTGGTCAGGTGACTGGTCTGCATATGACCATCAATTACTATCTCTCGAAATCCAGTAACCCTGGGAGGAGCCTTTCCCCTCTGGTGAGAGAGGCCCTAGATGCCAGAGCATCAAGAATGCAGAAAATAAGACTGGGCATGCTGGCTCTCGCCTATAATCTCAGCCCTTAGAAAGGCCAAGGCAGGAGGACTGCCTGAGCCCAGGGGTTCGAGACCAGCCTGGGTAACTTGACAAGACCACGTCTCTACAACAAATAAAATTAGCTGGGTGTGGTGGTGCACACCTGTGATCCCAGCTACTTGGGAGGCTGAGGCACAAGGTCCAGCAGATCGAGGCTGCAGTGAGGTGTGATTGTGCCACTGCACTCCAGCCTGGGTGACAGAATGTGACTCTGACTCAAATAAATAAATAAATAATAGAAAACAAGGCCAGGAGGTAATCCCAGCACTTTAGGAGGCTGAGGTGAGTGGATTGCCTGAGCCCGCGGGTTCGAGACCCGCCTGGGCAACTTGGCGAGACTTCATCTCTACAATAAATCAAAAAATCAGCCAGGTGTGGTAGCGCATGCCTATAATTCTGGCTACTGGGAAGGCTGAGGCGGAAGGATCGCCGGAGCCCAGCAGGTCGAGGCTGCGGTGGCCGGGAGCAGCCACTGCACTCCAGTCTGGGCGGCAGAGTGAGACTCCAAAAAAAAAAAAAAATATAGAAAATAAACTGGAGTTAATTCATACCCCGACTTCTGGGCAATGGGACAAAGGTCTTCTCTGACCCTCAGTTCCCTCATCTCTAAATGAGGTAGTGAAGACCCTGGTAGCCTCCTGGCAAAGGTGTGACCTCCCTGGGACCCTTGGAGATGGATACAGGGTCTCTGGCTCCAAGATCTGGTAGGCGGTGAGCCGGCCCCAGATGATGAGATGCTAGTTGGAGAGAGAGGGAGCAGATACATCAGGAGGGCTTCCTGGAGGTGGTTGAGTCCGGCTTTGGCACTCTGTCCCGCATGGGAGAAGGTGGACGAAGTGAGTTCTGAAGCCTGGGTCTTGGGCAGCGTGCTGGGGGCCAAGTTCCCTGCAGCCAGGATGGGGGAGCCTCCGGGGGTTTAAGGCTTTTCCTCCGCTCAGCAGATGGGGCTCCAGGCCTCTCAACTCAGCCTCCAGCTCAGCCCGCTAGGCTGACGTGTCCCATCACAGAAATGAAACCATGCTGGGTTTCTTCTAGTTGGTCTTCTAGGAAGACGTTACACCAGAAAGTAAGATTTTATTGTTTTTGGATGTTTCTCCTTTATTTTAATTTAGAGCCAACCTCATTCTGTTGCCCAGGTTGAAAGTGGTTGTATGATCATAGCTCACTGCAGCCTCCAACTTATGGGCTCAAGCCATCCTCCCTCCTCAGCCTCCCAGGTAGCCAGGACTACAGGCATGCACCAGCAGGCCCAGCTAATTTTTTAAATTTTTGGTACAGAGTTGGGGAGTCTCACTATGCTGTCCAGGCTGGTCTTGAACTCCTGACCTCAAGCGATCCTCCCGCCTCAGCCTCCCAAAGTGCTGGGTTACAGGAGGGAGGCGCCACGCCCAATCTGGTTTTTCTCCTTTAACGTTTGCTCAGGGATGTGTGTGCCAGACTGCGAGGCTGGCTACGGTGCCACATGCCACCTGAGCAGACCCTGAGATCTGGACCTTTTTGAGGAGTTGTTTGGGCTCTCGGTTCTCGGTGGAGCAAGCCACCCCGTACCTGGTGGCTCCAAGGTTCTGTCAAGGTTCTGGGTTGCCTGTGCTCACTGAGGTTCTTTTGCTCCACGCCATAATGGCTGCCATCATCTGGAGCTGGGCTGGCTGGATGCAGAATGCGTCTGTCATGTCTGGGTTCTATGGGAGGGTAGCTGGGACAGTTGAGCCTCGCCACACGGCCTCTCCATGCAGCCTCTCCGTGCAGCCTCCTGAGCTGGCTGGCTGCATTCCTTCCTCAATGACAGGGATTCCCCAGAGCACAAAGCAGAGTTAGCCGGGTCAACCTCACTTCTGCCATATTCTTTTTTTTTTTCCCCTAATTTTTTGAGTTGGGCTCTCGCTCTGTCGCCCAGGCTGGAGTCTCTGTCGCCACAGCCACAACTCACCACAGCCTCGCCCTTCTGAGCCCAAGTCATCCTTCTACCTCAACCTCCTGAACAGTTAGGACTACAGGTGTGTGCCACCATGCCCGGCTAATTTTTGTGCTTTTTTTTTTTTTAGAGACAAGATCTCACTATGCTGCCCTGGCTGCTCATGAGCTTGGGTTCAAGTGATCCTCCTGCCTCGGCCTCCCAAAGTGCTGGGATTACAGGCATGAGCCACTGAACCTGGCTTACTTCTGCCTGTATCTTGTGGGTTCAGTGGAGTCCAGATCAGCCCGGATGGCACACGCGTGTGTGTGTGTGTATTGTACGATGGAGACCACATCCAAGACTGAACAGTTGGAGTCACAGGTCCCCAGGGCCCTCCTTGCAGACGAGCTGCCACAGATTTAACCAACGGGCACACGCTGGGAACAGGCCAGCTGGGGCTAGGATCTCCCTGTCCTCCCAAATCAGCCAAGTCACCTGGGTGGTGATTGTTTTCGGGCTGCAGCTTTGTCATCTGTGCACTGGGGCAGTCACATTTACAAACATCTGTCACACATGAGCACGCCAGGCCGGGATTTCGGCTCTTTGTTCCCCCAGCCTGTCTGGGTGAGTCATTTCCAGGAAGTCCCAGGTTTAAAAGGGAGGGGATTGGGAGCATTTGGGAGAGGAGCAGACCCAATTTTTGTGTCGGACAGGGGTTGTTCCTCCAGCTCCCATCCCACCTTGTCCTCCTGGGACTCAGCTAGGACTTTGCTTTCTTTTTTCTCTTTCCTCTCATTATTATTATTATTTTTTTTGAGTTGGAGTCTCACTCTGTCGCCCAGGCTGGAGTGTGGTGGCTGCTCCCGGCCACCGCAGCCTCGACCTGCTGGGCTCTAGCGATCCTTCCACCTCAGCCTTCCGAGTAGCCGGAATTACAGGCATGCGCTACCACGCCCGGCTGATTTTTTGACTTATTGTAGAGATGAGGTCTCGCTGTCCAGGCGGGTCTCGAACCCGCGGGCTCAGGCAATCCACTCACCTCAGCCTCCCAAAGGCGCGGGATTACAGGCTGAGCCACCGAGCCCCGCTTTTTTTTTTTTTTTTTTTTTTAGTCAAGGTCTCACTCTGTCACACAGGCTGGAGTGCCGTGGCACAGTCATACTCAATGCAGTCTTGACCTTCAGGACTCAAATGATCTTTCCACCTCAGCCTCCTGAATTGCTGGGACCATAGGTGCATGCCACCATGCCTGGCTAATTTTTCATTTTTTGCAGAGACAAGGTCTCGCTGTGTTGCCCAGACTTGTTTCAAACTCCTGAGCTCAAGGAAGCCTCCTACCTTGCTGGATGGGAGGCATGAGCCACCCTGCCTGGCCTTTCCTTTTTTTTTTTTTTGAGTTG